AGGTTTTTGCTATAGGGCACGTGCGCTTGCCAGACAGACAGACAGAGACAGACAGAAAGTGAGAAATCACCCCCCAGAGGGGATGGCCATGCCGCAATCCCTTCTCCTCCATTCTCCTCCTGGGATCTTGGGCATGCACGCACATGCGCCTGGCGTGAGTTTAAGCCACCGGTTCTGGAACTCGAACCACGGTTGACTACATGGGAGTCCAGTGACATAGCCATTACGCTAACTGCTGGTCCCAGAACCCTTATCTTCTTATTTAATTGAACTTTGGGCAGTATATTTTGACTTCAAACTCATCATCACTTCCTTAAAAGAATCTTCTTTGAATATTCTGCCTCCACTACATTTTTTAAAATTAGATTTTTGCCATAGGGTGTGTGTGCTCACCAGACAGAGACAGAGAGAGGGAGAGAGAGGAGAGAGAAGGGGGCTCAGCCCTTTCTCCTCCATTCTTCTCTTGGGATTTTGGGTACACACATACCTAATGCTTGGCATGATTTTCAAGCCATGGGGTCCAGGACCTGCACTGTGGTTGATCATGTGGAAATCTGGTGCCTTAACCACTATAACACCTGTTGTCCCCCTCCACCCCAATTTAAACTATATTGTCATACACAGATACATATCCTAGTGTCCTTTTTTTATAGTGCACTTTGTGTGTGTGTGTGTGTGTGTTTATTTTCTTACATTTTGAGTCACAGGTTCAGGACTCAACCCCGGAAGACTACGTGGGAGTCCAATGACATAACCATTATGCCATCTGCTGGTCCCAGGACTCAAGCTTTTAAAACCCTTCTGTTGCACTGGGGGCAACCTGCCCACACGGTCAGAAATTGAGCCGCTATGTCTCTTTTGTACACATGAACCTTCTTTGTGCCTTTGTTCTTACCAGTTCTTTTTACCTGGAATGCCTATTGTCTCTGGCTTCCTGTAAAGATATACAGTCATTAAAATTGTATTTATGTTTTGAGAGCTACAGCACAAAAGTCATCTTCTCTGGGAAGGTTTTCCCGGTGTTTCAAGTTGTATCTGACTGCAGGTGCCAGGACCTCCCCCACCTCCCATAGTCTCCCTGCCAAGGGCCACAGACAATTTGACAATGTGGGGAAGAGTTGGGAGGGGATTTAGTTGCAAACAGGGTGGAAATGCATGTGGTGGGCTCACACAGGTTCCTTGCTCACTGTTCATCGAATTATATAGTCTAGTTTGATTTTTAACTCTAACTTCTCTAAGCCCTTATCTTCTTCTTTTTTTTTGGAGAGGTTTTTGCTATAGGGCACGTGCGCTTGCCAGACAGACAGACAGAGACAGACAGAAAGTGAGAAATCACCCCCCAGAGGGGATGGCCATGCCGCAATCCCTTCTCCTCCATTCTCCTCCTGGGATCTTGGGCATGCACGCACATGCGCCTGGCGTGAGTTTAAGCCACCGGTTCTGGAACTCGAACCACGGTTGACTACATGGGAGTCCAGTGACATAGCCATTACGCTAACTGCTGGTCCCAGAACCCTTATCTTCTTATTTAATTGAACTTTGGGCAGTATATTTTGACTTCAAACTCATCATCACTTCCTTAAAAGAATCTTCTTTGAATATTCTGCCTCCACTACATTTTTTAAAATTAGATTTTTGCCATAGGGTGTGTGTGCTCACCAGACAGAGACAGAGAGAGGGAGAGAGAGGAGAGAGAAGGGGGCTCAGCCCTTTCTCCTCCATTCTTCTCTTGGGATTTTGGGTACACACATACCTAATGCTTGGCATGATTTTCAAGCCATGGGGTCCAGGACCTGCACTGTGGTTGATCATGTGGAAATCTGGTGCCTTAACCACTATAACACCTGTTGTCCCCCTCCACCCCAATTTAAACTATATTGTCATACACAGATACATATCCTAGTGTCCTTTTTTTATAGTGCACTTTGTGTGTGTGTGTGTGTGTGTTTATTTTCTTACATTTTGAGGACAGATACCATATAGCTATGGAGGCAGACTTACTTGATTTAAGTATTATTTCTGTCATGTACTCACTTTTGCTCTTCCATATTTACTTAAATTCATAGTGCTTCAATTTTCTCATCCGTAAATGGGAATAATAGCAATATCCATCACAAAGGGTACCACATGTAATGTGTCTAGTATGGAGCTTGATGTATAGCACTAGACATTTAGTTTATTGTCATTTTTACTATTGAATAATAATGTGGTCAGAAGAACAGTAGGAAGAAGGGATAAGCATTTCGTTATCATTCTGGCAAAGGCTAGTGAAATCAATTGCTTTTCCCTTGAGAAAATAGCACAAAGGGAGGTCACCAATTTGGATAACACTTGTGCTTTTCTATTATGGAAAATTGAAGGAGTTGATAAAATAGAGCTTTGAGGATTTCTGGACAGAGCTAATCACAAAGGCATTGTTTCTCTTTGACATACTTTGAGTATTGACATGGATTCTACTGAAATTTTGGGAGAAGGAAGACTGAATCCCAAGGACCAAATACAGTATATGGCTCTGCATTGAGAACTGATGCCTTGAAAAAAATGCATTTCTTCTTTGCAGAACTGACTTCAGGAAATATCTCATCCCAGGGACCTTTAATCAACTGCTGATATGTTGGTAATTGGATTCATTTTTCTAGCTTTAAAAATGGCTGCCTAGATTTAGGTCCTCATCAGGATTGTTCAACCAAGTCTTAAGTAAAAATTACAAAACCTCTAAGATTTTTGTGAGTCCCTTTTGAAATGTGAATTGGCTAGATTTGTTGAAATCAAACCATTCTCTCCAAAATCCAAATTTGATTTAAACATAAAGTAAATGTGACTACAATATGTAATAATTTATTTGAGCAAGTTCAGAGTGAGAAGTTCAAGACACATGTAGAACTGATATATAGAAGCACACGTTTAAAAAAAATTACTCTAAGATTTTCTTTTCTAGGAATACTTTGATTAATTTTTACAGTAAATTTACATAACCATGGCTCTGATTGCACTTATATTGAATTGAAGAAGATCTCAACTGAGGTTAAGTATTGTTGAATATGCAAAAAAGCAACTGATGATAGTCAATAGTTCATAACCCTCAGTAATGAGATTTGTAAAAATGACCCCTTTTCTTGACTGATTGTTTCTTAAAACGAAGTATGACTAATTTATTTGTAGGTAGGCCTTTGTTAATTCTAAAGGCTGTGATCAACAATTGAGTTCATGTCTGGATCTCAAGCACTTCTTTCAAAGATTACAACACATCACTTAAAAAGCAAATCTTTCTTAGATGACTGTCTATATGTCTATCTTCCCCTTTTTCCTTTTTATTCTCTCCCCTTTTCTTTGTTTTGCCTTTTCTCCTCCTCCATCTTCATTTTCTTCTCTCCCTGTTTATTCTCTGCATTCTCTCATTTATTTTTATTTCCTCTTCCTTCTGTTCCTAATTTCTTTTTTTCCCCTCTCCCTCTTCATTTCCATCTCCCTCTCTTCATCCTCCTTGCCTTTTTCTCCCTTTCCTTCCTGTGTATTTCTTCCATTTCTTTCTTTCTTTTCTTTCTTCTTCTCTCTCTATTTCCCCCTCTCCCCACATCTTGCTTACTGTAAATGCTGCATAATTCTTAATATTGACCAATATTGTAGACATAAAAATATACCTGCAAAGTCTTTATTTGAATAACAAATTTGGTTTAATGTTTCCTGGACATCCTCACACAAAGTCATGAGTTAGTTTTGGAAGGAGTAACTTGTTTATGCGCTACCTATTACATTAACAAATTAATTAATGAGGGAATAGACAATAAGTCTCACAGAGCAAGCAAGCAAGCAAATTGAAAAACCGTTAAATCTTTAAGTAGTCTTATAATAGCTTGCTGTATTGTCTTATTATTTTTCAATCTGATGTATTATTTTTTTGACATTTAACCTTGTTTCCCATGTTCTTCTGTTTATTCTAATTTGATTGGCTTAAGTTTTCAAAATCTTTAACTTTTGGAGATGTTCAGAGACAGCTTTTAAAGTTTTCTTTAGTCATACTTTCATGAGAATAGTGAAATCTATAATAACAATAATATTAGGTTTAAAATTATTTAAGTTTTTTAACAATCCTAAATATGAGTATATTTCTCCCTCCTTTGACAACTGAAGAAAATTGAAGCACCAAGACTTAAATTAATGTTAAATGGTTAATAAAGGTAAAATTCTGGACTGCAAACAATGTCTTTAGATTTTGGGCCCATTTTTCTTTCTTTGCATTTCAATGTATTTCTAATTTCCTTTACTCTTTTTTTCTCTCACTTTCTTTCTTCTTTGACTCTTGTTTTCTTCTCTTTCTCAGTAAATGTTCAAAAGCGTATACATTTTGGCCAATACTGGGCTATCAAAATAAATAGATTATACTTGTAGTAAGACAAGATTTTTATTTTTAAGGTTCCATAGTGTTGACTACAGGGAGATGATCATGAGTCTATATAGCAAGTGCTGAAATGAACATTTACCACAGTCTCTGAGATTTGGATGGATGTAGCAGCACCATTTTAAGAAAAGTGAAAACAAGAATGACTCTTAAAAGAATTTCAGTATGTCCTTGAGTATTTTTTTATGAGTTAAGATTAGTAGAGCAATTTGATTTTTTTCTGGGTAAGTGTGTCTACCCACTCTCATTAAATTAAGTGCATTTTGTATATCTGTAAGTATGTTACATGTATGGTCACTTCATGGATTGGCTCTTAAGAATTGACACATAATATTTTTCTTTTTTGATTTTAAAATTTGAACAAGTTTTACCGTAAAAAATTAAAAGCAAACTAGAAAAATGTAAAAATAAATAACACATTGTCACTTATAGAATATAAAAAACAAGACATTTGACAAGGTTCTGTCCTTTTACTTCTTATAAAACTAGAAACAATAAGGCAGCCTTCGGTATGTTTCACCTAAGTGAAAGTCTTATTACTGAGCATAGTATAATTTATTTTCCAGGGTAGTCACCTATCACCTGAACTGACTTGTTGAAGCAGATGAATAATGTGACTGAGTTCATCCTCCTGGGCTTGACCCAAAATATGGAGCTTCAGAAACTTTTATTCATTGTGTTTTTAATTGTCTACTTGGTTACCTTGGCAGGCAACATGCTTATCATGATTACCATCAATGCCAGCAGGGCCCTAGGTTCCCCCATGTACTTTTTCCTGTCTTACTTATCCCTTATAGATTGCTGCTGTTCTTCATCTATGACTCCTAAGATGCTAGCTGACACTCTTGTTGTGAGAAAAACCATATCTTTTGGAGGGTGTATGACTCAGGTTTTTGTTGAGCATCTTTTTGGTGCTGCTGAGATTATCCTTCTCACAGTGATGGCCTATGACCGCTATGTGGCCATTTGTAAACCCTTGCACTACCCAACAATCATGAGCCAACAAGTGTGTAGCCTTTTTGTAGGAGTAGCTTGGGTTGGAGGCTTTGTCCATGCAACCATTCAGATAGTCTTCACAGTCTGGCTGCCCTTCTGTGGCCCTAATGTCATAGATCACTTCATGTGTGACTTATACCCTTTGTTGAAACTCGTCTGCATAGACACCCATACCCTTGGTCTCTTTGTTGCTGCCAACAGTGGGTTTATCTGCTTATTAAACTTCCTTCTTTTGATGTTCTCCTATGTGGTTATCCTATATACTTTGAAATCTCACAGCTTAGAGGGAAGGCGCAAAGCCCTCTCTACCTGTGTTTCTCACATCACTGTGGTTGTCTTATTCTTTGTGCCCTGCATATTTGTGTATTTGCGTCCAGTGACCACCTTCCCTATAGATAAAGCTGTAGCTGTGTTTTATACCATGATAACGCCTATGTTAAACCCTTTAATTTATACTTTCAGAAATGTAGAGGTAAAAAATGCTATGAAGAAACTTTGGGTCAATAGGTGACTTAAATGGAAAAATAATCGCCAAACAGAATTACTTTATCATTTAAATGGTGGAGAAAAGAATAGAATGCCTAAGATTCTAAGTGGTAGAAGTGAATAATGTTTGTCAAAGTTTGTTGTTGTTGGTCGAGAAGTCCCTTGAGGAAAAGCTTAGGACCAAAATTTGATAATTTTAAAAACATTCCATTTAGACTTAGTTATTATTTACTTGATTGTCACAGTTTTATATACTGTCAGAATTAGTAAAGATTCTTGTTAAAAATTCAGATTCCTAGGACATTTATCTGAAAATAGTCCAGTAGGATTGTTGTTGTATTAGCATATCTGCCTTTTACGCAATTAATTCAGATGTTTCTAAACAGATAATCTGTGAACAAACATGAGGAGTACTATTATAGATTATGCCTGCATCATCAGCCTATTAATGGATCACTTTATTAATGTATTTCCTAGGAAGTAACTTACATAGCAGAAACGAGAATCATGAACTCTCAGTGCTTCATAAATCATACAATGCAAGCTTACTATTTTTGTGATTGCACAATAAAAATAAAATATGCTGGGAAAATAGAAATGTTATGGTTATTTATTATCCATCCTCTCTTTTTGAAGTTTCTAATTGTTTGTCTGATTCCCCCTTTTTCTCTCTGCCTCCCTAGAAAACATTTACCATGCATCACTCCTGGATTATTTGAATTAAAACTGATTATTATCATAATCTTACTTAATCATCATACTGAGAACTTTATTTTATTGATTTTGCTGTATTAAGGTGATTGGATGTACATTTTGTTGGATTAGGTTATAGAGTTTAGTATAATATCATGGTTCAGAGTATAGTTTCAGTAAAAATGATCCTGAAATCAAAATTTAGCTTTGCTACAGATAGCATAAACTTTGGTAAACCACAAATTGTTTTTTCAAAAAACTGACAGAGGGCATATGAGCTCACCAGAAGGGATAGAGAGCCAGAGATAGAAAAAGAGGAAGTACTTCCCTCCAATGAGGCATGGTCATGCCACAATCCCTTCTGCATTCCTCTATCCCATCAGGATTTTGAGCACATGTACACTCTCCCTGTGTGTTTTAAAAGTGACTGGGACTGAGATTCAAACTATCCAGTCATGAGAGTTCCAGCTCCCTTAACCAGTAGCCTCACAACTTCTTAAAGTATAGTTAGTTAAAAGGTAAGAGTAGAGATATTTTCAGGATCAAATACATAATATTTGTAATACTCTTATTTCCAGTTAGTGCTCAGTGCTTTTTAACTACTATGAACATTATTGCGCAAGTGTCTAACTATAATAAAATAATTTATTAATCTCTTTTTTGAATTTTAGGAGGGAGGATATAGAATGTTTATGTCCTTGTTGTGATGAATAACTCTCTGAGATGATCGGCAATGTTAGGATTTTGTGGTGCTGGAGTGCCTCTCAACATCTTTTCTGTTATTCTACAGCTCTCTCCCATTTTCCTTCCTTTTCTTCCTTCTTTCCCTCTCACTCTCTTTGCTTATTTCCATTATTTGAGTTGACAATACTTGATTAAAAGTAACAGGAAATATAAATGTAAGTTTTTATTTTAACTTAATTTTTTTGTTGTTACTATAGGGTACATGTGCTCGCTGCAGAGAGAGAGAGAGAGAGAAGGAAAGTGAGAAATCGCCCCACCTTGAGGGCGTTGTATTATGTTGCAATCCCTTCTCCATTCTCCTCTCAGAATTTTAGATATGCATGCCTATTGGTCTGGTGTTTTTTTTTTTTTTGATAAAATTTATCTTTATTGGTAACATATAAATGGAGTAAATATAAATGCAAACAACAGAAGGAAAAGTATTTTTAAGTTAATTTTTTTTCCTTCTTTTTTTGGAGAGATTTTTGCTATAGGGCACGTGCGCTCGCCAGCCAGCCAGAGAGAGACAGAGAGATAGAAAGCGAGAAATCACCCCCCAGGGGGTGATGGTCATGCTGCAATCCCTTCTCCTCCATTCTCCTCTCGGGATCTTGGGCACGCATGCACACGCGCCTAGCGTGAGTTTTAAGTCACTGGGTCCAGGATGCGAACCATGGTCGACTATGTGGGAGTCCAGCGACATAGCCGTTACGCTAACTGCTGGGTCCCAAGTTCATTATTTTTTTTTTTTTTAAGATTTTGCTATAGAACATGTTTATTCAGCAGAGAGAGGCTGAGAAAGTGAGACATTGCTCACTAGAGATGATGGTGAAGCCACAAGTCCTTCACTTTCATTCTCCTCTCAGGATTATGGGCACACACATATATACACCCAATGTGATTTTTAGGCCACCAGCTCAAGAACTCAAACCACAGTCAGCCATGTAAGAATCCAGTGCCTTAACCAGCATGCCGCCTGCTGGCCCTTCAAGTTCAGTCTTTTTGGAGGAAAAAAGTCTTCTACTTAATAAAGGCTAGCATCCAGTAATTTGTCATGTCCAGGACTTAAACTTCACACTTGGTCATGGGGATCCAACTACCTTAACTGCCACACCACCTGGCTGATCCCATGTCAATTAACTTTTAATTGCTACATAATAGTTCTATATACTTATGGGGTATGATGTAAATTTTCATTACAAGAATACAATGAGTAATGATCAAAACAGGGCAACAAGCATAAATACCATCTCAAACATATATCATTACTTTTGAGTCATAAACATGCAAAACTTTTTCTTCTAGCTGTTTTGAAATGCACAGTGAATTGTCACCAGCTATAGTTCTCTATGCTATATTATGCTAAAACTCACTCCACTTATTCTTGTGCAATTTGGCATCTATTAACCAAATTCTCGCTACTCTTTCCTTCTCCTGTCCCTTTCCAGCTTCTGATTTTCTGATCTTTGGTCATATGACTCTTACTTTTTGGAGCTGATGTATATGTCAGTCTTTTTCTCATGACAAGCGTTGTTTGAAAAATCAAACGGTGGCAGTACTGTGAAGCTGCGGTCAGGGCAGCAGGCAACCAGAATACAAACACACTTAAAGTAAAATGAGGAAGTAGTAGGTGGAAGAGTCAGATTTTTAGGTTTGAATGTGACTGGATAGATGAGTTATTCATCCCATCTATACCACATTTTCTTTGTCTGTTAAAAGGATACTGATAGTACCTCTCATAAATTTGTTTGGCAATTTATTAAGCTTTTTAGTTGCTAGAGGGCACATGTGCTTGCTGGGAGTGAGTGGAGGAGAGAGAGAGAGAGAGAGAGAGAGAAAGAGAGAGAGCGAGAGAGAGCAAGAGAGAGAGAACTCCCCACTGGAGAATGGTTACAGCACAATCCTTTCTTCTCAAATTTTCAGGTTTCTCTATCTGCTAGTCCTGGGATTTGAAAAGCAGTTAGCCTTGTGGGATCCAGCTTCCTTAACCATTAGGCCAAGGGGCTGTCTCTGTTAGGCCATTTAAATTAATTAATGTTTGTTAAGTGCCTACAAAAGTGTTAGGCACATTGTAAATATTGTGAAAGTTTTTTTTTTTTTTTTGAGGAGGGAGGGGGAATTATGCAATTGTTTTTGTTATTTTTGTATAAAGCAATTGTTTTTTCCAACAGAGAACTTTATAATTTTTGTCTCTATTACCTTCTTTACTTCATCATCAGTGTCCTATGTCTGCCTGACTTAGAAAATAAAATGCCAGGATTTATATTTATTGTTCAACTTTACGTAGACATTATATTTCATAAATGTTAAATGTTTCTTCCCTTTGCCCCTCCCACTCACCCTCTACTACCCACTTCCTTCCCTGACAGTCTCTGGTATCTACACTTATCCTTTCTACTCTCATATCTTCAGAGATTTCAATTTCTTTTTTTAATTTTTATTTTTAATTAATTTATTTTACATTCACTGAGCATTGTCACAGAATACAAAATGTGATTTCCCATCCAGAATATACCACATAGTGGCTTAATAATACATGTTGTCGTTGATAATTTTCCATGTCTAGTTTCATATATTTATATATATATTTGTGTGTGTGTGTATATATGTGTATATATATATGTGTGTGTGTGCATATATTTATATATATACATATGTATATATATGTTTTTCCCCCCTTATTTCTCACCTTCTGCCATTTCCCATCTTTCTCCCATACTATCTCTGGTGTCTACAGCTGCTTTCCATTCCTTTTTTCCCCACTTTTATTGCTTCACAAAATTTCTTAAATAATCTAACCACTTTCAATAGCAAGTTCAGCTGATATACACGTATCTGTGAATACATATCTGACTTTAGGCGTGAAACTCTGAGTAGAATGATTATAAGTAGCAAATAGCTGATGCAATATAGCTTACTACAGACATTTTACTATGGTCATTAAATAGATTTTTTTAAATATATTTTTTAATTTCAAGAAAAGAAGTTTTAGCTTTAATAAATCAAAATAAGTGAAATGATAAGAGAGCTTTGCTTAAAACTAAAAGCCAGAGAACAGGTTAGGATTTTGTTCAAATAGTAGGTACATGAACCTATTGGCAGCTCAAGATAAGACAAAAATCCTTAAAACTAGACAACAAAGCCTAGAAGAAAATCAGCAATGTTTTAGTCCAAAGCCATGATTGTATTTCACCAATTCAGTCACATGTATTTAATCTATCTTCTGTTGTGGTTCAATCTTCCTGATTAAATTCTGGGATATAATATTCAACTCTGGACTCATCTCTACGATTAAGTTGGCCATTTTATTAGTTTTTGAACTCTATTTTTGTGTGTCTGTATTTAATTTTCCTGGTATAGCACTCCCTTGAGAACTTGGAGATCTGGTCTAGTGTTGGTAAATTCTTTCAGGTTTTGTTTACTTGAAAATGTTCTTGCCGGGTACAATATTCTTGGTTGAAATTGCTTTTCCCTTAACACTTTGAATATATTTTCCCATTCTTACCTTGCTTGCATTGTTTCCGATGAGAGGTCCCCTGTTTGCCTGATGGGATATCTTTTGTAGATAACTTGATGTTTCTTTCTTGCCAATCTTAGTATCTTGTCTTT